GAGCGGAACTACCCTGTCCATGACAAGGAGCTCCTGGCAATGAAATATGCCCTAGTGAAGTTCCGTGTTCACCTTCTGGGCTCTACGCCCTTTGTGATCTACACAGACCACGCGTCCTTGAGGACGGCGACTAACTCGCCTCACCTCTCCCAACGGATGGCGAGGTGGCTGTCCTTCTTCGCGGAATATAACTTCCGCGTCGAGTACAAGCCGGGCAAGCTCAACGTGCTTGCGGACGCCCTCTCTAGGCGTCCCGACTATGAGTTGGCCCACATCACGCGGGTGACAACGGATCTATATGATCGGATACGCATGGCGTATCGGGACGATGAGGCTGTCGCGCCTATCGTCAAGTTCCTTAAGGCCGGAACGAGCGCGAAGTCCGACTGGCTCTCGTCGCGACAGCGCTCACGGCTCCACCGATATGAGTTGAAGGAGGGCCTCCTCTATTATCGGGTAGAGCCCACTGATCCTCCACGGGTGGTTGTACCCAACGACGAGGATCTGAAGTTCGACATCCTCGCGGAGGCGCATGACGCGCCCTCCAGCGGCCACTTGGGCCGCGAGAAGACCTTTCTGTCGGTCTCTCAGTCCTTCTGGTGGACCCACATGTACAAGTGGGTCGCCCGGTACGTCAAGACATGTGAAACATGTCAGCGGGTTAAACCCGCAGGGCCCGCTTCGGCTCCACTACAGAGCCTGCTCGTATCGGCTGACTGTTGGAAGTCGATGAGTCTTGACTTCATCTTTGGGCTTCCCGCCGACGGACACGGCAACACCAGAATTTTGGTGTTCGTGTGTCGGCTGAGCAAGATGGTACATCTTGCTCCGGTTCCCGTCACTGTTACGGGCGAACAAACCGCAAGGTTGTTCGTCGATGGCGTGTTCCGCTATCGCGGTCTCCCGGAGACGATAATCTCGGACCAAGACCCGCGGTTCACTGCTGCGTTTTGGAAAACGCTGTTCCCTTTACTGGGAACTCGTCTGCAGATGTCCACTGTGGACCATCCGCAGACAGACGGCCAAACAGAGCGCGTCAATCGAGTGCTCGAGGACACTCTGCGCAGTGTGTGCGCGGCAGCACCACGTACGTGGTCGACGCAGCTTCCAGTTGTTGAGTTTGCGCTCAACAACGCGGTGCACGCGTCCACGGGGTTCACGCCGTTCTACTTGAACGGCTTCCGCCACCCCAGAGTGCCTCTCACTCTTCGAGGAAACACTGACTTCTCTATTCTAAGTGGGGGAGAGGCTCGGAAAGCCCTTTCCTCCCAGGTCTCGGATGTGAGGCCAGTTTCGCTGCGGAAACAGGTGGAATCCTTTATGGATACCAAGCTGAACATTGTCAGCAGGGTCCGCGATGCCATGGCAGCGGCCCAGGATAGACAAAAGGAGTACTCAGACAAACATGGAAGAGGAAACTTAAGTGTATTTAAAGTGGGGGACTTAGTGCTATTAGACACGAGGAACCTACCGCTAGACACTGTCAGCTCTGTCGGCAGCAACAAGCTGAAGCACCGCTTCATCGGACCTTTTGCAGTCCTGGCCAGACATGGTGCGTCGTACACCATCGACCTTCCAAAGTCAATGACGACGCACCCGACGTTCTATGTCGGACGTCTTAAGCGGTACTTTGACCCGCAGGGGGTTGCTGACTCGCAGACCCCCCTTGACCCAGCTCCTCGAAGCGAGGGCCGGTCACAGTCGTCGACGAGGGCGTCGGAGCAGGCACCCAAGCCTCGGTCGGGACGGCAAGGCTGCGGTCAAGACCGTACGCCGGAGGGGCTCCATACGAATGGACCCCGGCGCCATACGCCGAGTACGCTGAGTACGCCGGGTACGCACCATACGCGTACGTCTGGGAGTGTGCCGCAGGCGGCTCCGGACGTGGCAACAAAGCCTCGATCCGTCGGATCATGCGAAAGGCCTCGTCCAGATCGGACGAAGAGGCCCGGCGGTCCACCCGCAGGTGCAGGCTCGCGACCTCTCGCTCCACCAGGTCCAGGCGACCCGCAAGACGAGCGAGCTCGCCCTGATTCCCGGCCTGGGCGGCAGCATTACCGCCAGTCCCAAGGCCAAGTGCAATCTCAAGCACGAGGAGACGTTGACGGAGGCGGTCAACCTCAGGGTCCCGTGTCGGACCCGCAGTCGGAGCACTCGAACGAGAGTGGCTCTCGGGAGGCGCCGAGTACTCGTACTCGTACGAGGGCACCTCCGCCCCTGCTTGACCGGAATGGAGAAGTCCACTTCCACGTGGAGCGGATCCTCCAGGAGCAACGGTGTCGCGGGAAGCGACAGCTCCTCGTGAAGTGGAGGGGTTATGCCCACTCCGAGAACTCGTGGGAGCCGATTGAACGGCTCCTGATTGACTGCCCGAAGGCTGTCGCAATCTGGGAACAGAAGCGGCGGCAGCTTTCATAAGTAGTCCGGGGCTTCTTGCCCGAACGGGTACGGATGATGAATACATACCGTACCCGCGCTCATCGTGAGCGCTAGAGGCCGCGCGCTTCAGGATGTCCCTTGGGAGCATACGCTTGCTGATCAAGTGGGCAAACCTCACACGAAGATCACGCTGGTCCAGGATGTGGGACAGCTGCTGATCTTCATGGAGTTCCCATAACTCCGTGGGCGAGTACTTGAGAGTCTCCACCCACGCCCAGAACATGTCCTCACAAGAACTCCATGTGGGACAGTTCTCGGGCATAACCCAGGGGTATCCCCAAACAGGATAGAGACCACCCCGGGTCTCGGGCTTCTTACGACAAGTCGTGAAGTCCTTAAGGGGGAATGCGGTGTGGCGCGAGAAGCACACACCGAGCAGCCTCCACGTTGTCGACGAACAACTGTTCTTTCTGAACAAGGGCTCGTTCATAGATGCCCCTAGAAGTGTGGCCGCCCACAAGGCCACGAGGAGCGACAAGAAGCTCTAAGAAGAGGTCAGCCCCAGAGCTCTCCTCGGGAGGCCAATACCCTCTTGAGTTGATGGCAGCTCCCTGGCTGACGGGTGCCGCCACCGAACCCCCACGCACACGCTGGGCAGCTTGGAAATCCTCCTGCTGCTGGTCGAGGTCATTCGAGACCTCCCGGGGCTCAACAATGGCACCCTCCTCTTCCTCTTCTTCCTCCTTCTCCTCCTCTTCATCCGAGGAGTCGAAGAGACTCTGATAGGAGCGTCGAGTCTCCTTCTCCTCGCGGAGTGGAGACTTAGAGGCGGTACGCTTCTTTGAGGGCTTGGCGCCTTCGGCTTTAGAGGCCTTAGCGCGCGCAAGACCCTCGGCAAGCGAGAGACGTTTGCGAGGACTCCCTTCCTCATCGCCACCGGCTTTGGGAGTGCCCTTAGCCTTAACGGCCGGACTCTCAGAGCGCACAGAGGTCCTGGGACTGTGATCACCGTGATCACTAGCGGACGACTGCACGCTGTCTTCTTTGTGCTCACTGGGCACTGGGCTGTGCCCTCCCACAGAGCCCGCAGGAGCATCATGAGTGCTCTCGAACTCGGGCATCGTCCTCACTGCCCGAGTTGAACTCATGTTCTACGAACCGAAGG